GTATCACATTTATTTTTGCTAATAAAAACAAAATATAAAAGAAGCTTTTTTCTTTTTCTTTTTTTTAATTTTTTATAGTTTACAAAGCACTTTATTTATTTATTTATTTATTTTTTAAAGACAGAGTCTCATCAGGTTGCCCAGTCTGGAGTGTAGTGGCTATTCACGGGTGCCTTGAGCTCCTGGGCTCAAGTGATCCTCCTGCCTCAGCCTCCTGGGTAGCTGGGACTACAAGGCGTGTGCCACGACGCCCGGCTAATTTTTTTTTTTTTTTTTAAAGACAGGGTCTCTCTTTGTCATCCAGGCTGGAGTGCGGTGGCAAGACCATAGCTCTCCGCACCCTCAAATTTCCTGGGCTCAAGTGATTCCTCCCCCTCGGCCTCTTAAAGTGCTGGAATTACAGGCATGAGTCAATTTGCCCGGGCTTTTAATCTTTACATTTATAATACAGGCTCATTTGGCTTAAATGTTGATGTGATCAGAGAATTCTTTCAATATTATTTGTTGAAATATACTGTGTTATTTTCAGGATACACAGATCACTGATATTGACTATATGGAAGACAAGAAAGATTTTACTTATGATGAAGTTGCATTTAAAGGGCTCCCCGAATTTGTTCAAGATTTGCATGACCATGGACAGAAATATGTCATCATCTTGGTAATGACTGATTATGCTAATATATTTTTAGTATTTACACACTTTTAAGTTAATAGATTTTCTATAGTTTCTTTTTCTATTATTAGGATCCTGCAATTTCCATAGATAAACTTGCTAATGGAGCAGCATATGAACCCTATGACAGGGGAAATGCAGCAGGTGTGTGGGTAAATGAGTCAGATGGAACTACAGCAATTATTGGAGAGGTAAATTATGATATTCATTAAAGTGATGGTATTCAAATTTTCTACTACGCAACAACAAAGTTTCTGTGAGAGTGTGTGTGTGTGTACATATATTTGTTTTCAACTCTGGTTTTGATATTTTAATTGGGGAGAGAAATTTTAGGCAAGGAAATATTCCAAATATTTCTAAAACAGTTCTTATAAGAAGTCAAACACAGAGTAAACAACAGACA